ATTTTCTCCTCATTCTCGCGTTCTTGTAGGCGAAGACGGTTTGTCGTTTGGACGTCAAACGAACGAATTTTGGACAAAATACTAATTCTGTCAAAACACAAAGTACCAGGTACTAAATCTAACATTTTCTAGTCAACCGAAGCCTGTTGACCGTGACCACTTAGGAAAATTATGTCTAGGTCCCCAAAATTTCGAATACCCAGAAATGATACCTGAGTTTTGTAAAACGACAGTTTTACATCGCAAACTTGCGGAGCTCGGTTCTTGCTCGTCCGACGTTGAAAATGAGTTTTGTCGAAACGTGCACGCTCTTGAGGTCGTCTTCTTCGTTGTGGTACCCATCTTATGGAGTTCTGTTGAAGTCGACAACATCGGTGCAACCGACGCAAGTTTCCGACGAGCCTCTAACAAACTTCTACGAACCTCCACTGACAAATCCGACTCCGTAAATGGCTTCCAGACCTCCATATTACCCTAACCCAGGCCACAAAAGAGTGGTTTCTTCCTCTTTTCTTTCTCCTTCTTTTCTTCCTTTTCTTTGGGTTTTCGTTTGCTTGTATGCGGTGGAGGAATAATGGAAGAAAGAAGAGGGAAGTTGGATCTTGTTAAATGACTCTTCCACAAGGCCTGTCCTCCCCAGCTGTAGGATAAGTGGATGGGTAATGGTGTCGCTTATCTCCAAAATTTGTCAAGAAATAATGAGCCCGAAAATAATGGAGGAAAAGGAAATTAAATATCTACGTGGCCGGTTTTCACCTCTCTCGCTTTCCTACTTCTCCTTTCTTTCATTTTCATTTTCTTTTCATTTTATTTTCAGCACACTCATATAGACGTATAATAAATACCCTTAAATGTATTTATAAAATAAATATCATTATATACATGTTCATATACTAATCGATGCTTCTCCGACAGTCAGTTCGACACGGTTAGTTACAGAGCCGTGTTATTAGCCTGTGTCATCCTTTGAAAACGTTATCCTTATCGTTACGATCGTGTGGGCGCAAACGGCTCGTCGTTTCGACGTCAAATGAAGGAGATATGCTCAAATTAGTTTTGGCTGAAATTCTTGATTTCTCATCAAACCAAGTTGATTGATAAATTGTCCGAAGTTTGGGATGTTACAAAAACTGTCATACCAAGAGAAATCGGGAGATTAATTTTCAAATGCGCCCTTGTACTAGGAAGTGAAAGGGTGAAACTATTGCACGATGGAGGGACTTTTGGTGGAAGTTAGAAATAGATAAGAACAAAGATAAAAAAAACACAAAAATTAAATTTAAATTGAAAAATACAATCACACAACACGTAGTAAAGAAATAGTTTCTTCCATGTTAGCCAATTGCAAATTTACCTAAGCGAAAATTGAGGAGAGAGTATGAATTTTAAAAGGGATAAAATTACATGAAACTCTACTATGGAAATTGAAGTATTAAGCACCATAAAAATACATACGGTAGACTTAGTGGACTTGTTGATCATGATGTAAAAGTCATTCACTTTCCAGAGTTTAACTTTGTGTATGCTTTATATTAAACAGAAACAACAAATTCATTTATTGTAATTGGTTATGATTGTTGTCTTTGTTTGAAGAGACCCGAGTTCAAATCTTGATATTAATATTTTTATTTGAAATAAATAATTAATTGTAAAGACAAAAATGTTCTTTCTACTTTCACTCTCGTTACTGGAAATTTGAAATGGAGAAAATTACACAAAACTCTACCATATATTAATGGAGGATGTGTAGATATCTAAAAGAAAATGAATACTCAATTATAATGTGATTTCTGCTTTTTATTTTGTTCTAAAGCAAACATAAATGTGGGGGAAAAAATCAAAGAGATGGTCATGATCACGTATTTACGGTCACGTTCCTATTTGACAGAGTTACTAAAATATACCAATATCATTAAGTTTCATACTGCCAAATACGGTTGAGTTATGTACCATCATAATTCACGAGGCACATTCCTATCAAAATAAAAATAAAATATTAATATCTCAATACAAATTATCCATATATAAAACACCATTCTAGAAAATTCAAGCAAATCACAAGTTAACCATATAAATTGTTCAACACCAATCTAGAAAATTCAAGAAAATCGAAGCAAATCACAAATTATCCATAAAAAATATGATTAATTGAAAGTTTTTTCCTTCTTGTCAATTAAGCTTCTTCACTCTCCACTCGATAATATCTACTTCATTCTACACAATTAGAAATAAAAAAATTAGACATGTCTCCACAAACATAAAGATGATTAGTTGCTTAGAATATTAAATATACCGGAAAAATTAATTATATGGTTGTGGGCGGGTATCCATGGGGCGAGTATACCTAAACCCAAACCCAACCCAGTGAATAGTTTAAATCCAAACTCGACCCAAAATCCATCAACACGGATTTTACCCGCGTTGACTGAATTGGGTCAGATAGGGCATCCATGGGTGCGGATTTTGTGGCCATCCCTACTTGCAGTCGACAGAGAGGTGCCCAACAAATAACTCTTACAATTCGGAAGTTGGAACCCAGCAAGCACACGCCTAGAGAGTTGCATACTTGTCATTTACGACTTTAAAATTTCAAAAACGACTTAAAAACGATGAGGATACCATATAACATGCAGTTGGTAACGAGATGCATGAAATTATTTTTTCTCGGAAAATATTGAAAATGAATCTCATTTTGTAGAGCACAAGGAACTCATTCCATCTGTGAAAAAATTGAAATTTGAGTTAAAACGAAGAAGATATGAGCCGATTAAAAAAATTAGGGAAAATAAAAATGTCTTTAATTCTCCACCATTATCTCTGAATTTTCTAGGTCCACTGAAAAAAGAAGCTGCAGATTTAGTTACTCGTGAGCGCATAATCGTATCTGAAGCGGTTTTGGATGGAAAAAGAACAACCGGCGGGGCTAGCGGCTTCAATTTTAAAGAGGGCTAAACGCTCAAAATAAGGAAGAAAAGAAGAGCATACATACACCGAGGAAATGAAGAACATGGGACTAGCCGCCTAGGCACCTCCCTAAGCGGGAGATTAAAGAGAAGCGTCAAATGTATTGCAAATATAAAAAGAAAAATACGAGATCTTGTTCGAAGTAGCGGTTGATTAATAAATAAATCAAATAACAGCAATCAATAAATCATCAAGGTCCATAATTGCACCCATCAAGAGAGACAAGGAAGGAACCCTTTGCATATATTTGTAACATTAATTAATTTGGACCGTGGTAGTGGGTGTACTATTTATTTAGGCATCAATCACATATATTATATACTGTGCTTAAGTTACGAATTGGTCCACATATATGATTGTAAAGCTAATTAAGATTGAAGCAGTTGACCTTGTTGAAGAGAAGGATGAATACAAGACAAGCTTTTGCTGACAACATCGCTTCCACTTCGATAGCCGTTGGGCAAAAAATTCGGAAGCAAGACAAGCTTTTGCTGACAAATGGGGTAATCAAACCTCTGGTACAAGGAAATTCAAATTTTTCAAGAACCTCAAGTCTTCGAGGCATGACCTTGTTGAATGGATGAAAAAGGGCACTTCTAACTCTTCTAGGAAAATAAAAGAACTTTGTCTAGACATTGATACAGCCAGAAACGCTCCATCTGTTGACTGGGAAGCGATTAAGGGGCTTGAACGATTGTTATCATCTTCCTACCTACAAGAAGAGATTTATTGTAAACAAAAATCTAGAGTTACGTACCTTCAGGAAGGGGAGTTTAATACTCATTTCTTCCATACCATTACAAACCAGAAGAGAAGGATGAATACAATTCTTTCCCTCAAGGATGATAATGGCTTAGTTCATTTAGAGGAAGGAGCGCAGTTACATACTTTATGGGACTCTTCCTATCTAATCAACCTTTTCTTGATTTCATTTTGAGGTTGGGCCTCCAGAAGAAAGTGAATGATTATATGAATACTTGCCTTTCTGCAACAGTTACAAGAAAAGAGATAAAAGATGCTACTTTCTCGATCGGGTCTTACCAATCCCCGGGGATAGATGGGTTTACTGGTATCTTCTTTCAAGCATTTTGGGATGTGGGTGGGGAATCCCTTTGTGATGCTGCCCTCTCCTTCTTTCATACGGGAAGATTGTTGCATAACTTTAATCATACGCTGATCACGCTTATACCCAAGACTCCAAATGCCGAAACCATGAAACAAATGAAGCCTATAGGACTCTGCCAAGTATTCTACAAGATCATTGCTAAAATTCTAGCAGATAGGTTGAGTCGTTTCCTTCCTCTCATTGTGGGCCCCAACCAAAATGGCTTTGTGAAAGATAGATCTATCACAGACAACATTCTAATTGGGCAAGAGGTGATGCAATTTCTCAAAACCAAAACTCAAGGAAAGGAAAAATGGATGGCTTTAAAGCTAGAATGGAAAAGGCTTATGACAGAGTTGAATGACCTCTCTTGTTTGAGTTACTTAAAGGCCTAGGATTTGGAGATAAATGGCTCAAATGGCTAAGATCATGTGTGACAACTGTATCATTCACCATTGTCCTAAACGGGTCTATCCATGGTTACTTCCATCCTCAAAGAGGCTTACGTCAAGGGGACCCTCTCTCCCCCCTCTTATTCGCTATATACACTGAAGCTCTCTCTTCCCTCATAGAGAATTCCATTAGAAACTCTAGCCTCCACGGGTTACGTATTCATAGAGAAGCTCCACTGATCTCTCACCTATTCTTTGTGGATGATTCCTATCTATTCCTCCGTGCCTCCTCTACTGAATGTGCCGTCTAATTGAAATACTTCAAGAATATGAAGTGGTGAGTGGGCAACGAGTTAATCTCCATAAATCAGCTGTTACATTCAGTGCTAATGTCTTAGACTTGGAAGCTACTCGCCTAGCTGGTTTACTTGGTATGTCAGCAATTGGAGTTCATGATAGATATCTTGGACTTCCATCTCAGGTTCATAGATCTAAAATCCAAACTTTTCGATATATAGAAGACTCTTTAGCAAACCGAATACGCCATTGGAAGTCAAAAAACATGTCTTTGGCTGCCAAAGAAGTAGTCATCAGAGCAGTTGGGACAACAACTCCCATCTTTGCGATGTCCTGCTTTAGACTCACTTCTGATTTGTGTAGAAGGATGAACGGACAACTCTCCACTTTTTGGTGGGCAGGCCAAGACAAAGAAAAATGTATACATTGGTTATCATGGTCAGAATGTTGTTTCAGCAAATTTGAAGGAGGATTGGGATTCAGAGACTTTGATAGGTTCAATGTAGCAATGCTAGCCAAGCAAGCCTAGAGACTTATCTATGAACCGGAGAGTATTCTTGCCAGGATGTATAAGGCAAGATATCATTTCACCGATCATTTCCTCCTAGCCGGTCAGGGGCCCCACCCCTCTTGGGCTTGGCAAGGTAGGATAAGGATCTAGGATAAACACCTTACTCGACCCTTGGCTACCATCAGACCTTCTATCTAGCCCTGTGTTGTTAATGGGCGCCTCTCTAGATCACCCAATGGTCTCATTTCTTCTGGACTCTAATGCTATGGAGTGGAACCTAGACTTGCTTAAAATCTTATTTCCCCCTGCCACGATTGATAAAATCTTATCCATCCCTCTCCCATCTTCCATTTAAGAAGATAAATTGATTTGGCACTATGACAAGTCTGGTTATTATACAGTTAAATCGGGGTACCACCTTCTTTCGGATAGTTTAACTTCACCCAGGGTCTCCCTGTCATAATTTTTGATCACCAAGTTCTGGAAATTCTTGTGGAATATTTCAATTCCTCCTAAACTCAAATTCTTTCTTTGGAGATTGGTGCGTGGATTTTTACCGGTTAAAGGAACCCTCCTTTATAAGAAAATTATTTCATTAAGTACATGTCCTGTTTGCTGCGAAGTAAATGAAGACTTCAAGCATTGCTTCTTCGACTGTAGAATTACTAGAGAACTGTGGACATTATCTGACCTTGACCATATAAGAGATATGATGAGGGCAACTCCTATGGATCTTGCGTGGAGAAACCTCTTTTTCACGCCCCATATCTCCAAGAATGATGTAGCTTTCATTGTCTTCTTATTTTGGAGAATATGGAAAGTCCGATGCAAGGCTACTTATGGACACGTTTTATACAGGTCACATGTTCTATACATGCAACTATTAGCGCAGGTGGAGGAATGGAGAATGGCAGAGGCACAGAAGGTTCAGAGATCCGAAGAAGTCCGAAGGTCAATGTCCCACTCTTCCACAGGCCAAGGTCCTCATTCAAGGAGAACAGATGTTTCCTTCCCTAGTGAAGGTATCCTGGTTCGTTTTGACGGGGCAACAAAAATCCCTCAAGGATGTGCAACTAGCTTCGTCGGCTTTTCAGGTGATGGAAATATCACATTTGCAGTTGGTAAATTCTATCAGGGCATCTTAGATGCCTATATATCAGAATTACTTGCTATTCGTGATGCTATGAAATGGTGTCTCACCCACAACTTCTTGACTGTTGTTTTTGTAGGGACTCTCAATTGGTCATCAAGGATGTGACATCAAAGAAGGCTTCACATTCAAGAGCGGGAGCAATTTTAGAGGAAGTTCACTCTCTCCTTGCCTCATTCCTATCTGTCTCGTGTCTTTTTGCTCCTCGGAGCTTCAACAGAGCTGCCCACCTCGTGGCAAAACAGGCTCTTTCATCGGAAGTCCGGTTGCATACGGACTACCGTTCCTTTTTAGTGTCTTTCTTGTAATTGTGTTGTCTGGCCATGCCCTGGAGGCTTATCTTGGATAAAAAAAAAGATTTTTAATCCTTGCTTTTGTCAATATCTGGGCTAGGCTAAGGCTAGCTGCCTCATAATTAAAGTTATGCTATATGTGGACGGATGAACAATTGTCAACTTGCATGGCCATGGGTATATTATACTTATTTTCTAAATAAATTAACATTGATTTTACTAAACTAAAATGCCCAAACAGCGACAGGATAAGACAACACATGAAAAACCAAACGCATGTTTCATTGAAAGAGAGAACTAATTACGAGTTTTACGTGCATATACATAATATTACATATGCGTATAATTTGCATATATATGTTTATTTATGATAGTACGAACTTGTCAACAGTATAATTTATAGCTGAAAAGTAAAACTGCAACCCCCATTCAAATTTCCCTGCCCATAGAGTGATTTTAGGAAGCTGATGTGGCAGGATGTTAAGCGGGAAAAAAATAAAACTCCCTGCCCAGAACTAAGAAACCGTCCCTCCCCAACTTTTCTCCTGTTTCCCACGTCATCATTTAATTTTATTTTAGTTTTCGTTTGACTGAAATTAAGCCCACCTTTTCTACTGGTTATTAAGAGAGAGAAGAAACTCACGGAAAAGGAAGCGCAATTGCAAGCACATTACAGAGAGGGGGGGGGGGGAAGGTGAAAGGGAGGAGAAGGAAGGAGGTTGCTTACCCTTTTACAGGTACGATCTGCGGAAGGAATGGAAGAAGCGATTAGGCAGGCGCAGAGGAGCTTCCCGTTGGCAGTAAAGTAGAAAGCGTCGGGGTTTCCATGGTCAGGGATCAAGGAGAGCTTTAGGGAGCGGAGGGTTTGGGGCTGCGATGGATCGAATGTTAGGGTTTGGAGGCGGCGGGAATTTGGGGTTCTGAGGAGAACCTGGATCGATTTGGGGTGCATATTTGCGGGTAAACTTTCTAGGGTTTGGGAAGACAAAATTGAATCGTGTAATTGAGGAGAGAAATCGGAAGAACACCGTCTCCCCCGCCGCCACGAACCCTGCTTCTTCTTTCTTCTCTGCTTCAGGCTCTAGAAGGTCGCTCCAAATCGCTCCAGCTACTCTTGGATGGGTTTGTTCTATTTCTCCCCCTTTCATTAACTCTTTACATTCTGGGTTCAGTTCATATTCATTGCATTCTAAACGAGGGTGCTTTCCAAGACCCTAAGTTATTCAACTCTTTACAAAAAGAGGGCATTTTGTTCCCATTCCAAAGCTTTGTCCAAATAGGAAGCTAATTATGATACTGGAATCGACAGCTTCCAGCGACAAAGACGAAACCAGGAAAACACAGAAGTAAAAGAAAGATGGAGCCGCTGTCAAATTCTATTCAATTAGAGTTAGTTAAACTCTTTTCAGCATCATTGTTATTTTTAATGTTTGTACATTAGCTCTGATGACTTTGAATGGTCCTAGGTAAACAAAGTTGCATAGCTATGAATGATAACATGATGAGCTGAATCGTCACTGTAAATGCTTGAAATTGTGTTAATTCCTGACCCCGACTCCGAAATCCCCCCCCCCCCCCCCCCCCCCCCAACCCTGAACTCCCCTGCCATTTTAAAAAAAGAGAAAGAGTACATTAGTAATGACTAATGTAGGGAAACTGATGATATGATCTCATTGTTTAGGCATGTTGCTGCTTCACATCATGCGCTTAGCGTGTGAAGGGGAACCTTAAATCCCACTCTATATTTAGCTTCGAGTTGTTAGCTATACCCGCTAACAGTCATCTTGAAGAACCTCAGGCGTTCATTTTGTTCTCGCCCGCAAATTTCAATCCTGCTGAACCGTTGTAAAGATCTTTGCACAATTTTCAAATTGCACTATGTCCTGACCTGCCTCTCATTTGTTAAGCTTGAATCTTTATGAATGTTTGGGAAACTGTGGTTTGATGCGGTGATGTTGAAATATTTATGTTTGGAAATCTTGTTGCTCTGCAGGCAGCGTCTAAGATGATAAAGAGCTCAGTTTTGCCGACTCTTGAAGAATACAGACCCATAATTATGTCATCTCTCAAGTTCTCCAAGTTTACTTTTGGTACAGTTTCCCCTTAGTCAGGTTGGTCCTCTTCTTTCTTTTCTAATGTGATTAGTTTGAGATTCGAAGTAGAGAATTGTGTTCCAATAGTATAATATTTTTTTCCCCGCATGCTCTGAACTCAATAGAGTCATGATTTGTGAAGTATCTTTTAAGACATTGATGCAGCTACCTAGGTCATGTAACTAAGGATAAAGCATGCATTTATACTTGGTGGGAAGAGTTTTATTGCCCTTGCAAAATTGCAGGACTCGGAACTGAACTTACCACAAGTAGTCCATGTTGGATTAGAAAAGGCTGCCTCTTGATTCCATCACCACCTCTGCTCCCATCTCTACCTTATGGTATTCTCTGCATATTTTGTATGAACCCATAATGGGATATTCAGGTAACATCTTACATCAATGTCTTGGTATTTGTATCCATGAACCAGATTAGAAGAAGCACATATCCCAATTGGGTGGGCTCAATCACTACATATTTTCTCCTCTCCTCCACAGAGGACCCGGACCCAACCTGAAGCCATCAGTGTAGAAGAGAAGGAACCATTTATGTGAAAGCTAAGTGGACCTTGAACCTGGATAAAGAGACCGTTGTAAGTATCGAACGGTAAGTGGGGAGAGAGGGTAGTATATGATTGCAAATATAATTTGCCAGGATTGGTTGCTGCTCTACTCAATTGACAGTTAATTGGTTTTGGAGAAGTATATGATTCCGTGGGGCAACAACATCAATGGTTATTATGTCTCTAAATTGGGTTTTCACTTTCGTTCTGGCCCTTAATCCTTTTTGGCTATAGTGACAAGGTCAGTTTCTACACCCTCCATTCTTTTCTCTCTTCTGTTGGCAGCAAAGTTGTGGCCGGTATGAATTTAGTTTGAGTCAGCAGAAGATGGAATTAGTAGGCGTCCAGACTGACTAGGGTGATAGTGTATAGTTTCTTGGGGTTTTGAACTCATTTTTTCAATATTCTTCAACTGGTTATTCAATTCAAAAGCAACAAAGTTCCATGCTAAGTTACTCTCCTTATTGGATCTTTTAGTTGTGTATAATTCTTGGTTTCGTGATATGGTATTGGAGATATGAGCAGGTGAGGTTTGGAACGGACCAGAGCATTAGCAGCAGTTGGTTGTGAGATGGTATGTGTAAAATGGAATCATGGTAATTACTTGGCTCTGCTCATATAGTTAGGCTATATTTGAACCTCAAGGGAAGAATTCTCTTGCCACTTTTTAAGCTTTTTGTTTAGGTTTCCAACATCAATGTGTGACTGCTTTATGTCAACATAATCAAGCTTAATTGAAAGCAATGCTTCCCACTTTGTACACTCAATTTTTCTGTGTTTCACGGCTTTCTTATCTAACTCTTTTGTTTCTAAATTGCCTCTATTTTGGATATAACTTGCAGTTTAGGCTATTGATGACTCGGTATTTGCACATGTTTTCCCCTTTGTTTCTTGATTGTTTGAGCTTGAATTATTGCGTCTTTGGCCTATTTTATGCTAGGTTGTGTTCCTTTGTCCCATTTCAGGTCCTAGCACATAAAGTGAAGCATAGGCGCAAGTTTCAAGTCAATCAGAGATCAATTGACGATTCGAGAGAAGAAACTCGGGCATGACCTGAAGAAGAATGGATTTCTACCTCACTTTATGGACAAAGAATCATGCAAGCTTGTTATGAAACGAAAGAGGACAAGACTACGAGCGTCTGGGATCAAACGGCGATTGATTCGGAGTCCGGACGAGGGAGAAACGAAGCATTAAACAGAGGCTGAGCAAGCTGCACGGGCAGACCAGCGTGGCCACGCACGGCCGTGCAAGTGACCAGTTTGGCCGTGCGGGATTGTGCGTGGGCACGCACGGCCGTGCAACATACAATTCTGGCCGTGCGAGTTGGCTGAGGTTCAACTAATTGATACGCCGCGTTTTGAGGTGCACGGCCAGAATGGTGATGTGCACGGCCGTGCACCCTGGCCGTGCAACTCGGGAAACCCGGTTTTAAAGCCTAATCCGAGCCAAAGGAGAGAGAGAGCTGGGTTTTGGATCCCAAACACCCAAGGGACGAACCCTAGAGAGAGAGAGCGACTTGGAAACTTTCTTGGAGCTATTTTGGAGGATTTCTTCGCCATTGGAGCTCGGGAATCAAGCTTGGAGATGGAGATTGAAGATCTAGATCAGATTTCTGCAGTCTCTCTCTTCTCTATGGAGTAACTTCCCTTCACTTAGGTTTTGAGGAACCCTAGTTCCATGAGTTAGGATCTTTCTTGTATGAAGTTTTGGATGCTTTATTGTTTGATTATAATCGATTGAGGCATGATTTATTGAGTCAATTGAATCTTGATCAAATTCTCTTGATTTCTGCTTTAACCTATGATAGATAGAATCTGATTAGGTTAAGAGAGCTTCCTTGGTTGATAGTGGTGAATTGGTTGTGCGAGAGTCAATCAATTCACTGCTTTGTACTGGAATCCAATTTCAGTAGTGGAGTTCTGTGCTTATTGCTTCAGCTTTCTATCCCGGTGAAGACTAGTCGTCTGCCGGATAGTTAGACTGAGAGGGCTTGGTCAGCTTAAGAGATTCCAAGCTACTGTCGGATCTTCCGCAGTTTAATCAACAGTAAATCAACCAAAAGGAATTACAACTTGGACCTAATTGAGGAGCTAGGGGGAATCATACCTAAGTGAGTTCTCAAACTGTAATTAGTAGTTTTACTTAGTTTAGTTTGTAGAGTAGTTTAGTTAATCAATCCTTAATCTAGTTTGCTAGATAATGAACTGAAGCTGAGTAATAGTAACTCTAGAGACCCGTGGATTCGATATTTATTACTTGTGCCACTATACTGCAGTCCCTTTCATTGGTTACACTTGGCCATTGTTAGGTGTTGTGTTTTGGCGTGTCAAGTTTTTGGCGCCGTTGCCGGGGACTTTCTAGATTATTAGGAAAGGCAGAAGTTTGTTACTTTAGCGTTTTTCGTTTCTTTTCTTTTCCACCCTTGCTTTTCACTTGGGTGTTTTTGTTTTTGTTGGTGCAGATCTGAATCATGGATCCTCATGGCTTCTCCAATCATTGGGGGTATCCACCACCATCTGGGTGGTATTACCCTGAGACTCCCTGGAGCAATCAAGGAGGAGAAGACTATGGATTCGGATTCCAGTACCAACCCCCTTTCTACGGAGAACAACCAGACCCCTGGGCATATCAAGAACAATCTCCTTATCAAGAAGAATTCCTCCCACAACAAGAAGGGCCATCGAATCTGGAGTTACCCATGGCGGCCTTCACGGGCCATTCTGCAGAGCCATGCTACACTCCACAGCCAGATCCAAACTATGAATTGAGGCTTCTCGTGGAGCAGATTGCTCGAGTACCTGAGAGATCTTTTCCCGAGATGGATCCTCATATCCAGGCCATTGCCCAAACTGACTTTTCCTTCCCCCGTGAAACAGAGGATACCATCCGGAGCATAAAGAAGCACCTAGAGGTCATTGAGAAAGCTTGTTCACAGTTTTCTCAAGACAACCTTTATGCTGCCATACAAGTAGAGGAGGAGGAAGAAAAAGGCAATCATGAGGATGTTGAGGAGCATACAGAAGTTGTCATAGAAAGCTCCCATGATAATCATGATCAAGTGTATCCTTTGGTGGTAGATCATAACTTTCACCATTTCCGCTCTGACATGCTGGGCTCGAGTGAGGAGATGCAAGCTGAACTTATCGAGAACCTTGCATGGAGACTTGCTCTCCAATTCGTGCTGGAAGAAGAAGAGCAAGAAAGGGTGCAGAAAGAAGTTGTGGAGGATGACAAAAGTGAAGCAGAAGGAGTTCTTGATCTTTTCTCAGGGGTGATACCACATGAAGAAGAAAGGGGGGTTGAAAAAGCAATTGGCGTCCAGGCTGAGGATGAAGTTGAGGTGGAAGAGGCATGCACCGGCCATGAGTTGCAAGTAATATCCCCACCAAACTTTGAGGAACTGCTTGGCAAGGACCCATTTGCAGTGTCTCTTTGCCAGACCAAGGCCACATCGACATCGGTCCCTCTTGGTGGACGCGATGGTGGCCAATCGATGTTGTCATATCTGGTTTGGGGCAATGAGACGAGAGAAGAGAAGAAGAGGTCTCTAGGGTGGAGACTTCATCTGCATCAAGTACATGAGCCTTCCTCACCTGCCACACCACATGCTCGTGACTTGAGACTCCACCTCATCGACGAGAACCTCAACTTCAAGGAGGTTCTAGCATGGACCGAAACTTAGGAGCCATCGTCCGGCTCACGACGTGAAAGAAGCGCTTGTTGGGAGGCAACCCAACCAGTCGGTTTGCATTTCTTTCTCTATTTCTCCTCGGTTGAGTCAGTTTTGTTATTTGATTTTAGAGTCAATAACTCAACCTTTGTGAGATTTTGTGTGGTGTTTGTGTTCTGATTACTCTCTCTTCCTGGACTGCACTGCCTGACCCGTACATCATCATTCACCCTTGATCTGGTAACTTCGTTCAACCCTCCTTATCTTTCCTCCATTGAGGACAATGTCGTGCTTAAGTGTGGGGGGGTGTTCGATTATGTATGCGGGTGAATGTTTGGCTGTTTGTGTGCTTGGAGCCTAGTCCACTGTCCAAATTTTTAAATTTGAGGGCTCCAAGTACGTGTTCCATGCAATTGCCTGCTCAGTATGCTTTGAATTGACAGTCTTTACAGTAATATGCAACCTAGGGAGGTAGTGTAGCACTATGGAGGATGTTGATGCATTTAAGAAGTCTCATTTCTTCTTCATATAAAGTTGGTTGATTGAGTGAATTAGTGATCTTAGGACCCTTGAATTGTGTGATGTTGTGGATTTTCTACCTGTCATGGACTCTTGTATCATGTTTTGAAAATAGCAGGTGCTCGAAAATGTGCTTCAAAATAACGTCTCCCGTGCGAATAGGGCGAAAGTGTGTAAGGGGAGACGGGAATTCGTTCCCAATTTCCACCTACTACCTCCAGCCCCCTTACATGTCTTTCCCCCGCACGAGGCTCGAGACATCCGCTCCTGGCATGGCCGGTAAGAGCAGGTTGGGACCCTTGAGAAAGAAAAGAAAAGAAAAATATCAGAAAACAAGCAAAACAAAAAAAAAGGGGTCTCAACCATCTTCAAGAAGCAGACAATAGAGCACCTTGAAAAATGTGAGTCCATGATCTGTTGTTTTTGAGAATCTCCTCATCCACAATTCATTTGTCCTCTGTTCACTATTTGCCATGATGCCGACTCGCCGAAGAAGTTATGAGATGACTTGTGCGTCGGTTGACCTCGTAAACTGCTAAATGATCTAGGAAGTCCTCTACCTACGATCTGGGTTGTTTGTTGCTATAGAGGTCTGGAGAGTTGCATTGGTTTGAGTTAGGTTTGCTTGGGGACAAGCAAACAGTTAAGTGTGGGGGGATTTGATGACTCGGTATTTGCACATGTTTTCCCCTTTGTTTCTTGATTGTTTGAGCTTGAATTATTGCGTCTTTGGCCTATTTTATGCTAGGTTGTGTTCCTTTGTCCCATTTCAGGTCCTAGCACATAAAGTGAAGCATAGGCGCAAGTTTCAAGTCAATCAGAGATCAATTGACGATTCGAGAGAAGAAACTCGGGCATGACCTGAAGAAGAATGGATTTCTACCTCACTTTATGGACAAAGAATCATGCAAGCTTGTTATGAAACGAAAGAGGACAAGACTACGAGCGTCTGGGATCAAACGGCGATTGATTCGGAGTCCGGACGAGGGAGAAACGAAGCATTAAACAGAGGCTGAGCAAGCTGCACGGGCAGACCAGCGTGGCCACGCACGGCCGTGCAAGTGACCAGTTTGGCCGTGCGGGATTGTGCGTGGGCACGCACGGCCGTGCAACATACAATTCTGGCCGTGCGAGTTGGCTGAGGTTCAACTAATTGATACGCCGCGTTTTGAGGTGCACGGCCAGAATGGTGATGTGCACGGCCGTGCACCCTGGCCGTGCAACTCGGGAAACCCGGTTTTAAAGCCTAATCCGAGCCAAAGGAGAGAGAGAGCTGGGTTTTGGATCCCAAACACCCAAGGGACGAACCCTAGAGAGAGAGAGCGACTTGGAAACTTTCTTGGAGCTATTTTGGAGGATTTCTTCGCCATTGGAGCTCGGGAATCAAGCTTGGAGATGGAGATTGAAGATCTAGATCAGATTTCTGCAGTCTCTCTCTTCTCTATGGAGTAACTTCCCTTCACTTAGGTTTTGAGGAACCCTAGTTCCATGAGTTAGGATCTTTCTTGTATGAAGTTTTGGATGCTTTATTGTTTGATTATAATCGATTGAGGCATGATTTATTGAGTCAATTGAATCTTGATCAAATTCTCTTGATTTCTGCTTTAACCTATGATAGATAGAATCTGATTAGGTTAAGAGAGCTTCCTTGGTTGATAGTGGTGAATTGGTTGTGCGAGAGTCAATCAATTCACTGCTTTGTACTGGAATCCAATTTCAGTAGTGGAGTTCTGTGCTTATTGCTTCAGCTTTCTATCCCGGTGAAGACTAGTCGTCTGCCGGATAGTTAGACTGAGAGGGCTTGGTCAGCTTAAGAGATTCCAAGCTACTGTCGGATCTTCCGCAGTTTAATCAACAGTAAATCAACCAAAAGGAATTACAACTTGGACCTAATTGAGGAGCTAGGGGGAATCATACCTAAGTGAGTTCTCAAACTGTAATTAGTAGTTTTACTTAGTTTAGTTTGTAGAGTAGTTTAGTTAATCAATCCTTAATCTAGTTTGCTAGATAATGAACTGAAGCTGAGTAATAGTAACTCTAGAGACCCGTGGATTCGATATTTATTACTTGTGCCACTATACTGCAGTCCCTTTCATTGGTTACACTTGGCCATTGTTAGGTGTTGTGTTTTGGCGTGTCAGCTATGTAATCGACAACTAATGATTTAATCCATGACCTTCGGAAGAACGGTTTGAGTTTACATTTTCCTTATGTCATTAGTTCTTATAAGTAATTTGTTGAGTTCTTATGCTAATGTACGGTCTCTTTTTTCTTTTTTTCCTTTAGTAGTTTGGTCCAAGAAATCATGTGATCATCATTTTTTTCTTAAGATCACTAGGTTCATCGATTTAGTTTGCCAATCAAGCATTTAACCTTCGTTTAGTTCCTAATTGAGAGCATAAGATCATTTGTATAATAATAGTATATGCCTATGATACTGTGTTAAGATGGAACTGAAATGAGTTTGATGTAATGTCTTTGTTTGGTCCACTTTTATTCAGTGTTCAAGAAGACGCGATTAATCTCTCGCCTAGGCGCGATTAATAGCTGGGCAGGAGGAAATCGCCCAGTCTAGCCCTGGGTGATTGATCTAGGCACCTGGGCACTCGGAGACGCGTTTTCACTTTGGTGGGCGACGCCCAGAACAACTAATAAAGGGGAAATTGTAGTCTTTTTGTGAAAATCCCAAACCCTATTCTATTTCCCATTTCCATTCGACTAGCCGCTCCCCCTCATTGACCACCAGTGAGATCCCTCCTCATGGTTGGCGACTTGGGATGTTTGGGATTGTGGAAAATGGTTGTATGTATATTTGAAGGATGAATAATGATATGACGAACTTGAGTTTTTGTGGAATATGGCTTATATATCATTTTTTTTACGTTTAATCTCGCCTAGACAAGGACTAATCGGCATGGGTTAGGCGGTGCCTCCTCGCCTAGATAGCGCCTAGCGTCTTCTTGAACATTGCTTTTATTTGGGAGTAATATTCGTCTTTTTTTGTTGTTGGTAAAAACGAGAGCTCAGACGGGCGCTCTAACCCTTAACTATTAATCATATGTAGGATCTGAGTCCCAAGCGCGTCAAAGTACAACCAGTAGTTGAGCATATGACTCGGGTTATCCACAAACCAGATCCCAAAATGAATAGTGTGTCCAAGTGAAGCCAAATAGTCCGCTACATAATTTCTCTTCCAGAACACATGCTCTAGCTGACTTCCCAGTCTCGAGCCAGCAGCTGTCGCACCTCTGCGACTAAAGTATGATGAGGATGACTGGAAGAATCGCCATTGACGAGGGCGAGCGTCATTGCCGAATCTGTTTGCAGCTGAAGTTATCGGATCCCCTGTGTCCCAAGTCATGCTGAGTTCATGAAAAATCTCCGCCAGTTCAGCATGGATGATCGAGCCACCACCCAGATTGGCCGTAAAAGCTCTCACAAACTGACAGTCCTGTCTGCATAACGCTCCTACCGCTGCTGAGTTCCCTTGGCTTGTGTTAACAGAGCCATCAGTATTCAAACAGGTCCTTCCCTGCAGAGGTGGTTCCCAGCCAACTAGCCAAGCATCATTTCCACCCGCTCTGTAGCCTCCCCGAGAACCTGCCCAATCCTCCTGGAAGATTGATCAATCTGCACTCGCTTTTGTCGGATTTGGTAGGCTAACTGGGTTGCCGGCGCCAATAGTCTCTCGAAGACCCAGAGGTTTCTATTTTTCCATAGTTGCCAACAGAAAGTAGCGAAGAGGGATGCGTCTATCGGTCTATGGTATTAATAGTCATCTTTATCACTATGCTTTTCATTTTATTTGTTGCTTCTAATTATAATGATCAACAGATAAGTCAATAAAATATGTGATCGCGTTGACCTATCAATCAATTTGGAATTGTGCAAATTGTTCAAAATAAACACCATTTCAAGAGACATTGTTTTATGCAGGTATAACAGCTCCATTCTCTACTAGCAAAAGATAAGTCGATCATTTGCCTGGAGGGAGGGAAACATCTTTGGGAATCTTCTTGAAATTCCCCGACTTTTATTGTTGATCATCTGACCTTCCAAAAATAGCGATGAGCATAATGTAATTGTCCATTTTTTGCAAGAGGATAATAGATTATTACCAACTAATTCACTAATAATTCTTGAGCTTTACGGATGGTATTCTTTTTAATTAATTTTATTTATTATAGTAATTTATTGTTGTAAATTTTCACTTCATAATGTTAGTATACGTGTAACTATGAACATAATTGTTGAAAGCGTACTAATATTTGTGGATACTCGAAACCTTATATGCTATGAAATAGGTGGCAGACACAAGGACTGTCGTAAATTTAGCATATGTTATACTATCGAGCTAAAGGCCGAGCACAAAGCTAAGAACAAATTTATGGGCACACAAATTTTTGAAAAAAAAGTTTTTATTTGTTGGTCGCACATATTTGTTATAAATTTTTAGAATCTTTCAAATGACATAGTAGACAAATCTATAAGTGTTGACTTTTAGATATCAAAGGCAACACCAAAATCAATTATAAAAAATCCATATTGATTTCCTAAAATCATGAATCTTTTTCAGAAACTTAATTTTCACAACAAATGATTGTATGTTTGAACTATAGAGTGCCTTATTTAATTAAAATTTTGAAGAAATAATTGGAATATTTCAGATATGTCCATTATAATAGCATTGTACTATCCGTATACATTAATGTTAGCTATTAACAACCACAACTGCTTTTGAAGATATATATTATTTAAAAGTGAATTATTAGTTAATAATTTGTATTTTCTCAATTAGTACCTAATGGTTGTCGACCATAAAATTTGAATCCTTTATTTGATAAATTTTATCCCTCCAAATTACTGATAGGGAAAATCCCTTGGAGTTTATAATTAATACTTCAATGCTTAATTATTTTATTTTCATGGATATAATAGAAAAATAAGTGAATAATATCAAATTTTATGAAGAAATATTTTTGAAGTAATTTATTCTAACAATAGGAAGTGATTTTTTTCTTAAATGTAAAATATATATAGACAACAGTAAGCGATAGCATTATCAATACAAATACTTATAAACTAACTAATGTTACAATTAATAATTCGCACAAATATTAGTTTCAACCCATTAATAAATTATTTAGACGATCCCAAATTATTTGAAAATATGAAAAAATAGATTAATATAAAAATATAATAAATAAAACTAGATTCATCCGACCAACGGGTCGGGTAAAAAGCTAGTTTCCTATTAATATCTCATAGTGTGTTCCAGGAGAGCATTCGGAAAATTATGCGGAGCAAAGCTGCTCACATTATAACCCCACGCAAAAGCAAGGTGGAACGAATGATTTGGTTAGATAAGCTGCCGATATTCTTAGCTCTGATTTAATGAAATTGCTACAAGTTTCAGTAAAAAAAATGATAGGCATGTAACATGTGCGTATATATGTAAAGCACGTTATGTTTAATCCCATAATCAACAGAGTAACTAATAATCCTAATCCGATTACCATTTATCATCGACAACAACAACAACAAAAAAGTCCCACACTAGCTAGCTAAGCTAAAAGTGGAGGGCATCTCCATGTGCTCCACCACCCTCTGGTTTCAACTTTAGGAGGACTCTCTCCATATACATTCACATGCGGCATACTGCTTACTGTATCTACAGATAATTATGTACGATCGTTATTATCAGGCTGATTCTGATCTGATCACTGAGCTCCATCAATGGTGTAAAAGGGAACGCATAAAAAGACAGCATGATGAGAAAGGGAATGATATGGGCAAGCTAGAAAAAGAAGATAGATGGGGAGATTGCTGAAGGTGTGACTCTGTGATCTTCTACAGCAATTACATAACCAGCAGACCAGACCATGAGAACACCACCACCACCCTCCAGTCCATTCACTCATCAATTATAAAAGGGGGTTCCCCTTCCCATTTGGTACACTTCTTTTGGATCTTTAAGGAGTAGTTTTAGATTTACAGAAAGATTAGATGTGGAGAAAAAGTCTGACTTCAGACTTTATTCAGTAAAGCATCAATGGCTCTTGAACCTGCCTGCACAGTGCACACAGCCAATGTCAGTTCTGACAAGCATTGGTGGCTTTTCCCAGATAAAGCAACACATTATTTGGACACTCATTCCCAATATGATTCAGTAGTTTTGCGGAGTCAGCAGCGCCTTCGTCAGCTAATTGACACAGAGAAAGGAGACGAAAGGGAGTGTTTGAAGCCATGCATTCGAAACAGGGTTTCTATGACAGAATTCACTAATCCACACAAGAGTTTCTGACTTTGTTCTAGCAAATGCTATCAACTGCAAAACCAGGCAAACAACCTCTTCAAAATTGGGATAGAAAATGTTAAGGCCATTTGCTTCAGTTTTTTTAGTTATCTACCTTACTAGTTGGTTAGCTCCTAAGACAAGGGTCCTCAGAGTTTATGGCATCCACGAACCCTTCAGTTCCTTTTCCTCTCCTGACTTCTCATCACTTCTCATTTCCAATCGTTGCATACTCTGATTCAGCCAGAATCTTAGGCAGACTGACCCCTTGCCCTATACCATGACAACACTTCATTCAGCGCGACACAACAAGTGGCTCCTTTCCTTTGTCTCCAAATGATATTCCAATATTAGGTAAGGGCCACATTTGGAAGGCTCGGACTCCACCGTGGACTTTTCTTGAGTCTGACTGCGCAGCCTTTTATGCAACTGGGATATTAGGTTCCCCCAAATTCACAAAGGCCTCTGCCCTAGCCATCCTTCCCATTGCTGTATTCCAGGATACGAGGTGGTCCATGAAGGTGTTGACATACTTTGCTCTCTCATTCTGTTGAACATTACTGTTGATCTTTAACGGAAACTATAACAAACTCGTGCAAAGATATTGCCAAAAAAGGAAAAGGCAATAAGCATGAGAGTTACCTTGTAGTCCAAATAGTAAGCATGCTGCAAAAACAAAGATGGCAAATGTTACTATTCAAAATCAAAGTAGCATGCATATAGGGAAAAAGATGCTGTAAATGTGCAGTTGCCGAATTGGACATAGACAGACAAGGATTTCTTACCTCCCACACATCTAAATTGATTATAGGCTGGGAAAGCAAACAGAAAATGGAGAGCGATTTAGATCAGTGCACTCGTCAAGATGAGATATAGTTGATTAAAAATGTCAAGGGCAAGATTCGCTTACAATGTCATCCCAAACAAGTGGAGTGAAGGCATTTGATGTCTTTACTATAGCAAGATGTTTTTCTTCTCTCTTTACTACAACAAAGCATATATCACCAACTTCAGATAACACTAACAGACTAACACCAACCACTTTTCAAAGTTTTAAAAGCACTTACAGACAAGCCAAACCCAGCCAGAACTAAAAGATGTCAAGGCTGCTTCCACAAATTTCTCTCTGAAATTTGTGAAGGAACCGAAATCCTTTTCAATCTGATCGAGCAGACCAAGTTCAGGTATACCACCGCCTCCTGGTTGCATGGATTCCCAAAAGAAGTCGTGATTCCAGACCTGAATCAAACGCCGGAAGAGAATTCAATAACATTGCATCACAAGTCATGTAAACTACCAACAAGACTCTGTATTATAAATTTATAATAAGAACTTTTGAAGCCGCAATTTCAAAGGCGAAGAGCTTTCCAACCTGAGCAGCATTGTTGAAAGCAGGTAGAGGGTTGCCACGGTTGTAGGTAACATTGATAAGTTCATCCATGGTGTAGCTGTACAGAACATCGTCTTTCGCCAGAGCTTTATTCAGGTTCTCCAGATAACCACGATGATGACCTCCCCAGTGCAACTCCACCGTCTTCTTACTCATGTGTGGCTCTAATGCATCCTAACACCCCCACCAATTTGAACACCCAAAACCTCAATCAACTCTCATATAAGGTTACATTCCGAGAGAGAAACAAGTAGTTTGATTCTTTCTCTATCCCACCAAACATCACTCCAACATTTTTAACACAAAGTGATTAACTTTTATCCAAACTCTGAAGGTATATCACTATATCAGCAAAAAAAAAAATCATCTTCCAATCGAGGCGTAAAGATTAAAGAGAAGAAATAGGCAGAAAGTAAGAGTACGGGGGAGGAGCTTACAAGTTGGTAAGGAGGAGGCTTCAAGCCAAAATAGGCCACCACTTTGGAAGCTCTCCGCCGCGTATCAAACTGTGACGTCTGTTTCTTAGCCTGGAAATCGAAGTCCATCCATCCAGAAAACGAGAATTTCACCCCAAGGGTTAGATACTAGACCCGATAACGAAAAGAAGTTTGCACGTTTGATGGAACCTGAACCAGAATCATAAAACGGAACGCAAGCGAGAAAGAGCTAACCAGTGAAGGAAGCATAAAGGGAGGAGATTTGAGATTTAACTGGGGATGGCAGGCATCGTTTGCGACATGAATCTGAAGGTGGCAACTGGGTGCAAAAACATTGCAGCTACCCATCTCCTTCCTCCTTTCTTCTCTCTCGCTCTCTGTCTGCCAATCTATCCTGCGTCGCTGTTTGCCTTTTCTATTCTCTGTTATTTGAGCAGTGAGAACTGGGAAAATAGAACGCGAGGATTCAAAGAATATGGGCTTGTTTCTGGGCTCTAGTGAGCACAAAGTTATTGAGAAACAAATGTAAGCTTTGAGTCTGCAGTCCACTAGAAAAAAGTTTCTCATTCATGGACGAAAGGCATAGGCATGGGCCGTACGAAGCAGTTCGCACTCCCCATATCTTCCCAAAACAAAGCTCCATATGCTTTTGCACAATACTGAGAGCTCTAGAACCAAGGTAGTGTGGTTGCTGATAACCTCGTCAATTAATCAAAATTTCAATCTCTAGTCATAGGAAGAGAGCTTTACTTCATTAAAAGAGAGTTCACAACTTTGTGCCTGGAACTATTACCGTCCTGGTATATGTACAACATGTATACATAAACCTACATCAAAACGGTTCCTCTTACAGACTTTAGTCATAATCGGAAGGTATGAAGGAGCTATGTGAATCCCCCTCCAACCGGCTGATGAACATTGAAGAACCAGAAGATTCATGGTACAGCTTGCTGCAATTTTTAAGCCTTTCAAAGTAGGAGGTCTTGAGTCCATACATTCTGGCGATATCGGATCGGACCAAATGAGGGCTATTGAATTTTGAACCCGAAACTACCACAGCCGTCTCCTCACCCACCAAGTTAACCACTGTTACCATCACTTCCGGTTCGATTGCTGTCGAGGCATCCACCAAGAAGATATGACTAAAATGTCCTTTGCCAATACCCTCGCTGTGCAGCCGGAAGCTCGTCACGTAAGTAGATACTATGACTCTATACCTCTGGAGCTCAACGAGTGGCGGGCACGTGAAACATTCCCCTTTGTATGCAGACTGGCTAAGGATCTCACTGGGGACCTCATCAATCTCCCTGAAAGCTGCATTGGCTCGAAACATATCTCTGTCCTTGATCTCCTCTATCAAATGCTCCATCAGCACATCACAGGTTCTGTTAGCATGTGCACATACAAGAATCCGATGATCTGCACTGGTACGATACAGTTGGGCCACAGCCTCTTTCACTACTAATCCAGTCCTTGATAGTTGCTGCTTTGCAATTGTCCTTGATTTGTCAGGTTTCACGGCTAGCTGGCCCTCTACAAGGTATGGCGGAGGTCCTTGGAGGCTCAGGATCTGATCCACTGCAACCCTTTGTTGCTTGTCAAGTCTGTGATTGAACATATGGGTAGATACTGGGGTAGCTATGCTTGTCCGGGTACTGGAGAGAGAATCCGGGAAAATGAAGCCTCTTAGCCATGAACGAGTGGAAGCAACTTCGATCGCCTGATGAAACCTCTTCAGGCAGACTCGGTTGAATGAGAAGCTAACATCGTACTTGGAAGTTGGTCGATGCTGAGAGAAGAAATCTTGGCCAAATTCAACTAAGATGGTGTTACTCCTCTCCACACGATAGATCAGCCCCTGATCACGTTTAACAATCAGAAATCAATTTTAAAAGAAAGTATACTAGTACTTGTTCAAGAGGCTGAACCTGAAATGGACAGCTGTTTGGTTCATTTGAGAGTTGGGTGAAGACGAAGTCTCTGGATAGAAGGAAGGGGCGCTTCTCAGGAACTGCATCAATCACAAATGACACGAAGGTCTTGCCAAGTGTCAGATTACGGGTATAGTTGGTCGACCGAGTCTTGTCATGTTTTGCATTACGCGTGTGATTAGTGGACCGAGTCTTGTCGTAAATTTGTGCTTGTTTTAGCTCCAACTCCACGTCGAACAACTCGAAGCCGTTCCATTTCTGATTCATACCAAGAGGAACACAAATACTTAATTCGTTCTGTGGGTGTTAAGCTCGAAATTGTCCAAAAAACATAACGAATTATGATGAGTAGTGTACCTCGAGATAGTGGTCCTCTGCATACAGAAGAGCAGCAAAATAATCTCTGTAGGTGGAAGTAGATAGAGGCTTCCTCAGCAGTACTAGAGGCACCTTATCTTGCTTGATCAAACGCTCAACATCCTCTGGAATCTCATAAACTGGTTGTGACTTGCCTTTCTGGACCCATATGTACTTGGCTTGTGTCCCGCCGCCAGTTGAACTTGCACTTGGGGGAACTGGACGCAGAGTTGGCTTCAACATCGGGGACTTCTCCGCCTTGGAGGGAAACGGAGATGCTTTAACAGAAGAAGATGTTTCTTCTGAAAACAGGAAAGCTGGAGATGGTTTAGAAATGGGAACTGCAGGAGGGTTAGAAGGTTTTGGATATCGTGCAGGCATTTCCTCAGGGGAAGGTGGCCACTGGAAAACAAGGGGAGGGTCGCTGTCCAATGGTCGTAGACACGGAGCTAGCTTCACAGTCGGGGAATCCGGGGCCTTGGAGGGAAACGGAGATGTTCTAAAAGAAGAAGAAGAAGTTTCTTTTGGAAATAGGGAAGCCCGGGATGGTTTAGAAATGGGGACAGCAGGAAGCTTAGAAGGTAACGGATGTCGTGTAGGTGTTCCCTCATTCTTGTTCAAAGTTGGGGACTCCGCTGCATTGGAGGGAAACTGAGATGCTCTAAAAGAAGAAGACGATGAACTGGGGATGTAGGGCGGGTAGAAATTACTAGGGGTGTTGTTCTTAACCCGATGAAGATGAGACCGGCTTGGTGACTCCCCTTCCAGACGGGAATAAGACCCACGATGATGATCATCATCTTCCTCGCGATCAGAAGTATAGAGATTGATAGCCCACCCAAGGCAGAATGAAGCAAGGATACCCCCGGCGAGCTTAATAACGAAACCAATCATGGTTCCTGGACTGGACTGGACTTCTGAAAATCACAGTAATGGAGTATTCAGTTGGGCGGGAAGATAAACCAATTGATCCTTCCCTTAACAAAGAAATCAAACTTCAAAAGCAAAACATACAAACTGATGAGTGAAGAAGAAAAGAGGAAGATGGTTTTTCACTCACTTTTTTACTGTGGAATCTTGAAATCTGAGAAAAGGGTCCGGCTGCTCAGAGACTACAGAGGAAATGAGTAGCTGGCCTGCAGACGCAACAGCAAATGGGATGGTTTACTTTTGATTGATGTATTGTCCACCTTGACGAAGGTAGGTCAGAATATTTTAGTTGTTTATTGGGCAGAACTCTCTTCGTATTCTTCCACATTAAATAAGGATGAAGGAAAAAGTAGAAGAAATTAGAAATTGCAATAGTTGTACTGCTGTAACTTTTGCAGAAGCTCGCTGGAGCTTTTAGATTAGTATTTTTTAAAAAATTCAGTTGAGTGTTTGACGGTAAAACTATTACAAGTGTTTTTTAATATGAGAGGTTGTATAAAATGACTATAAAGGACTTATAATATACAATATGAATAAAATTCTAAATAAAAAAAAGTAGTCAAAATGGATCTTGTTAGATTTCTTTTATATTAAATAATATAATTTTATAATTTAGTTTATTTTTAAAATGATATAAATGACGAAAAATTATATTTTCTGAAATAAAATTAAAATATGGTAAGAATAATATTGTATTTTCAAAACAGTTTGAAGCTCCAAATCGGAGCTTCTGCTTTTATGTTATACAAAAGCACTTTTCGACTTTTCAAAAGTCTGTTTGGTCCTACTTTAGCTTTTGAAGCCGAAAAACACTTTTAAAAGCCGGACCAAACATAGGTAATACTTAATTACTTTTTACAACAAGGTAATTAAGGGGTGATGAAAAAGATTAATAATTAGCAAACATTATGACTAAAATTAGGAAGGAAATCAATAGAGTTACCAATTGAGTTACTCACCTTAGTTATAGGATAACTATGAGTCTCAACCGCTAACCTTTTGTATCTTTGCCAATAAACTATTCTATTTGGAAGCCTTGTCATTTAAGTAATCCCCAGTCACATAAATAATTAGCCCAGACCGAACCACTCCCCTTTCACTCTTTCCCTGTACTTGGAAAGTGCCACTGCGTTCCTGTTGCCAATAGTTTCAGAAAGGTTCTGTGGACCATGACACCACTGCAGAGCTCCTGAAAACCTTCCTGTAGAGATTTGAAGTGAACTCTTCCACTGCAGCACAAACCTGTCTGAAATCTCATTACAATGACTCCCAGTTCTCTATGGCTTTACTTGCATCAGCAGCTAGCCTTGATTGACCTAGATCGGACTTCGTACCGAGGTCTTTCCAAGGTCCCTTCTCACGGCTAGCTGCTGACCCCCAATAAGATATGGTGGACGTCCTCTGAGGCCCAGATCTGATGGACTGCGATAATTTGTTCCTTATAAAGTCTAGTCATATGGGTAGATAAGGTCGAGGTTCAACTTGTTGTCCTACTACATGAGAGGAAATGAGGAAATATGAAGCCTCTTAAACAAGAACGATTGGAACTTCAATTGCCTGGTGTAACCTCTTCAAGCAGACTCTGTTGAACGAGAAGCTAACAGCATACCTGGAAGCTGGTCGATGCTGTGAGAAAAAATCTTTGCACGAATTCAACGAAGATATTGTTATTCCTTCCTCAAAAATGTATTGTTGCTCTTCTCCACACTATTGATTAGACCCTGAAATTTTTGGCCACTTGATCCATTTGAAGTCGTGTGAAGACAAAGTCTCTGGCTAGAAGGGAGGGAACCTTCTCGGGAACTGCATCAACCTCAAATGATACGAAACCTTGTTATGTTTGGTGTGGATGGAATCGATGGTGGACTTGGTCTTCTCATACATTGTCACATTTATGCTTGTTTCAACTCCAAACCTACGTTTAACAACCTGAAATCACTCCAATTCTGAATCAAATGGAAGAGAGAAATTATTATAGAGAGCACATGTAAATGGAGAAATAAAAATAACAGTGATTCCCAACACTTTTAATAAATCCAAACATCTTGGGTTTGCTTTCTGAAAATAAAAACATAAAACGGAGGGGCCAGTGAGCATTGAACCTCATGCTTAAATTCATCAAGCAACAGAAATAAGTATATAGGACAAACTACATAAACACAAACCAACTTATCAAGAGATGATTAGCAATAAGCTTCTGATAAATTACGAGAAAGGAATGAAGGAATGACTGGATGAGAGGCTTAAAAGCAAGTGCAGAAGAGTTACTCTGTCACTCGGAACTCTAGAGATTAGGACTTCAAGGGGAGACAATCGTGAAGCAGTGCTGGAGCAACCCAGACAATTGTAATGAACTGCTACAGAGGTGGTGGAGAAATCTACAGTGGAATTTTTGTTTTTAAGTCCAAAACTAGAGAATACCATGTATAAATACCCTTTTTCTATATAGAAGAAGAAAGATTTTGGACTAGAGTAGAATAAGCCAACACAAGGAAGAGTATTAATTGTCAGTTTTCACTTTCTACAAAAACTCACACATAGAAGGCTTGCATAGATGAATAATGAATGGAACATCTGAAGAGTTTTTTGTTATTTCATTATTACAGAGCTCCAGAAAAATAGAGCAATTGAATTGGATTGATGGATTATGGGAGATTTTCGAGTAATTGAATTCAACGAGAAGCTGACAGGTGAGAAGGAGACTGGGGGGTGGATGCTGTATTACTGGTTCACACTTCATTGGAGAGTCTTGAAATCTGAGAGAAATGTTTTCCCCCCTATAAAGAAGAGTAAAGGACTAGCAGCAGACATCTAGTAGGAATACGTTAAAGCATCATAAAGTCTTTTACCTTTCGATATTACTGAACTTCCACTGCTAATGAATGAGTTTAAGCTCTAATCAGTGCAGTAATAAATCTACTTGGCAGAGCTCCTGGAAACCTTATATTTGTTTCGGATCAAGCCTCAGGAGTGCTAGCAGTGGTTCCCTCAATCCAACCAACTCTGGCCCACAGTCTTTTTGCTGTCCATCTCAGAGATTGCTCTGCTGATATTCGCTGCATCTTCCCAGTTACCACTCTCAGAATGAATCTTAAACCTCAAAGCATAAGTAGCATCATTCTCGGGAACCAAATGAATCAACTTTGCAGCTGCCCATTCTCCCAACTCCTTGTTCCCATATATCCTGCAACCACTCAGCAGAGATCTCAAGATAGCAGGCCATGGAGGAAACTGCATTGTTTCGATTATCCGCTTAGCATCTTCAAGGTGTCCATTTCGGGAAAACATGTCCACCAAGCAACCATAATTATTAGGAGAAGGTTCAAGATCATGTTCTGACATCATCGATTCAAACAAAAGGCACCCTTTGTCGACCAAACCCAAATGACCACATGCTGATATGATCGACACAAACGTAGCTTGGTTGGGCTTAACTTCCTTCATCTTCTCAAACATATCTAGAGCTTCTAAGCCTAGACCGTGATGGGCATAACCCATGATCATAGCATTGTAGAGGACGACATCATGAAATCTTGATGATTGGTCAAAAACAGTTCTTGCACTTTTGATGTCTCCATATTTTGCATATGCATCTAGCATTGCACTAGCCACAAAGTTGTATTCATCATAACCTAATTTGGTGACAAAAGCATGGGCAGCATTGACCCTAGAATAAGGGCCGCTACTACCACAACTGCCTAGAATACTACCCAGAATAAACTCATCAGGTTTCCTACCAGATTCTAATAGAGATTTGAAAAATCTGATGGCTTCTTGTTCATGGCCTTGATTTAACAATGCTGATATCATGGTTCCCCAAGCAGCTAAATCGATTCTTCTGTCACTCCCGTCAAAAAATTTGGAAGAATCATGAAACAGATCCAATTTAGCATAGCCTTTAATCAGAGAACTACAACAGTGTCCATGAGAATCAAATCCAGATTTCATCACAGCTCCATGGATCTGTTGAACTATTTTCTGGCAGCCATATTTGCAGCAGGTTTCCAGAATGCGTGAATAGGTGTATTCATCAGCTTGGACCCTTACCAGTACCAAGTTACGGAATGTTTGCAGAGCTTCCATGACATGATTGTTCAAGTTATGGCCGGAGATTAACTCATTCCAAATAACTATATCTTTGCAAGAGCTGCCGTCAGCCACAAGACTTGCCATTTGCATCAAGCCACACCAAGAGAACATATTGACAAGAGAAGAGATTACGATTGCTTCATCAAAGAATCCAAAGTGGACTGCAAGAGAACAAAACTGAAGACCAAGATTCACATCCACTAGCTCCCCGCATTGCCTAAATAATAACGAAAATGTAATATGATTGGGACTTATGCTACTCAACATAAAACTGTGGAAGAATTTTGCGAGTTTCTTAGAATTTTTGTAATGAGCAAGGCAACCGAATGCAGTATTCCATGTTATAATATCCGTATCAAGCATCGTACCGAAAACTTTCATGGCACAATCTACCCTGCCATTCTTTGTGTACATGTCCATAAGAGCGTTCATTACAGATGTACAATAATCTTCTTCAGTTCTGAGAATCAGTCCATGAATCTGCCGCCCAAAATGCAAATCTGACTCCACTGAGCTTCCTTGAAGAGAACTAACGAAGGTGTATTTGTCAAACTTTAGTCCTTGACATCGCATTGATGATGCTATGCTCAGCGCTTCACTGCCAAGCCCCAATTGGGCATAACCACCGAGGATAGCATTCCAACAACCGACATCTACTTTGTCCATAGACATGAAAACTCTATCTGCAGCTTCAATATCCTCCATTTTACAATAGAAACTCAAAGTTGAGCTGCCGACATATGGATTTGTTGCCAATCCAGTTTTCAGCGCCCAACAATGAATAGATAAACCAAAGCCTCCAGCTTCCATAGAAACACACCCCTTCATAACACTACCAAGAACAAACTCATTTGGCATCAGACCAGTTCTTGCCATATCCAAGTACGTCTCTAACCCCAACTCAGGTTCGCAACTCTGAACAGCACCAGATATGAGCAAAGCCCAAGAAACAATATTTCTGTGAGGCATGTCATCAAACACCTTACATCCATCAGGCAGACGGTCACGTTTTGAGTACATCCTGATCAGATTGTTTTGGGTGAAAACATCGTTACTCAAACCAAGCTTGACAACATAACCATGGATTTGGGTCCCCAGAGTTGATGATCTAGAGTTCACAGAGAAGGACAGGGCTTCGGCTATGGCAGTAGAGTCTCGCGCCACAAACAAACTGGAGCAGGGAGAAGGCTGGAGAAACGTGCAGAGATGGTGTTGATGCTTGATATTAATAAAAGAGAGGCCTGGTTTCTCAGTAGATAAAACTAAAGTTCTAAACTTTGAAGTCAGACTGTTCCCAAGCATCTCACGATTCTGGTTGTGGAGCAAAGCTTTCAGCATGACTTCTTTTGGGAATCCATGCTATAATTAGCAACATGGGTTTCGCAAAAATAAGCTACCAGTCTTACCACTCTGGAAGCTCTCTGCCGGCACCTGTCGAACTGCGACTTCTGCTTCTTGGTCTGAGAACCCCTAGCCATCCGTACACACCCAATAATTACACCGGCCGGATTTCAATTTCGAACCTGAGGCAGAAGCAAAGAGGGAAGCAAGAAAGAAAGAACTAACCAGAGACAGAAGCATGCTTTGAGATTCAAGTGGCGCCGCCAGTAGTCTTTCCTCTGTTCCTCCGGCGAGTCCCAGGGTGGCCGGTGGGATTTCGGAATGGGTGGATTCAAAGAAAGAAAGTATTCCGGCCTCTTGGGCTCATTAGGCCCAAAATACATAAGAAGCCTAAAGAATGAATCTTGGATCTCTAGCCCACTAGAAAGTTTCTTCCTTTATCCTCATTTCTACTAACACAGGGTTCGGCTCATTAATCATAAGAATTCTGTCGACAATTATGGTATATAATAATGAATATAATAGATGATTTGAAATGCATGAAATGATTGATTTTTATCTTAGTTATGTACATAACATTTTTGAAAGTGATCCAACTATGCATAATGTGTTTAAACCTAAAAAAAAAGAAAAAAAATATAATATAAGCATTACATATAACTAATGAATGAAAAAATATATAACTAATTGTCATTTATTACTTAATTAAATCATATAGTTGAATATTAGAGTTTTTTCTCATAATACATATATAATCAACCTTAAGGATGAAAGAAAATGTCTCATAGGGTTTAGGATGTCCTTTAAGTTTTTCCCAATAGAGAGCAATTTTTTTTACCACACTGTTGGTAATGAATCTGAAGTTGCTTGGTTTGAAATATATAGGACATGATGCTAAGTTGTCGCTAATAGTTAGTTGGACAATGTGTTGTGTACGGGACTTCCCAAATTATTTTCAGATCGCAGACTATCTAGCAACAATGTAGTAATTTTCATGCAGCAAATATTTTTTCACGAAATAATTCAATAAATAAAAACATATGAAAATAATACTACATGAAATATATGTTACTCATTAAGTTGATGAATGAGCGAGGGTATAATTAGCATACATTTATTTCAAAAAGATAGAAGTTGCAAAGTGTCTTTTAGCTTGCATGAGATCGCATATTCTCATTATCGCTAACTAACTTATGATTTTTTTGCAATAAGATAGTTCAAAATGTTCCTTAAAACTTTTATTTCCACCATTGTAAAAGAATTGTTTGAACCAAAGGATTGTAAAATCGTATCGAACAAGTTGGTAGTGGAGTATTTTATCCTGAAGTCATAATTAAAATGTGGTTAAACCGTTTCATATTGCTAAATATCACCTATCGATTTAGCCTATGATGTGAAGTCTATGGTCTAACCGGCGGTAGGTACCATCTTTCAATACAAACGTTAAATAAAAAATCACTAATATATTGACATTATCAAATACTCCTTAAATCTCAGAAATTACAATAATCGAGGAAAAAATCTTCTAAATGATAATATTGATTTAGCATTTTAAATTGAAATAGAAAAAATATTTCAAATATAATGTTATCTCCTAAAATAAATCAAAACTCAAAAGAATAGAGCAAGAATATCCACTAATCAAAGCAGAAGGACAATTATTTCACACTACCTCATTTTCCTCATCTTTTTAAATGTGTCCTCTCACTTTCTCTTTGCCTTCCTTTAGTTTTTACATTTGTTCTTCCATCTCTCTCTCTCAGCTTTGTATCTCACTAGTGTCCCCCTATTCCCTTCCTCTTTCTTCCCACCGGTTGGAATCGAGAGAAACCTAAAAACATCCCAATTACTTCTTCAATTTTGCGTTCAAAATGCTTCTTCTCCATTCACAGTTGATAGTGTGAATTAGAGTACCTAAAGAATCAAAATACATAATCACTTAATCAGATTCAACGAAAAAAATGCATAATCATATTCATCTTCACTTTACATGTATTTGTCGTACAAATTCATTACACATAAAAATGGTTTTGAATCGATGTCATATCAAAATAAATCGCATCTTATGATTATTGGATTCATTTCAGATTAGCAAAAGGTCTAAGGCTTTTGGTCAACCGAGCTGAAAATTATTACTAATTTAATAATTATATTTCGCTTCCAAAATGTTCAATGCTGCTATTTAATATGCAATATTCAAACAAATGATATATGAGTTTCAACTCTTTCTCAAATTTTGTAGAAAAAGAAAAATCCCCCCTCCCCCCACGCATTTGCAAAGAAATACTAAATCCCAATTTCTTTTTCACTTTATTTGCTTCTAAAGTTATTGTTGACGTTGTTTGTTATTACTGCAAGCGGTAAAAAAGACTTTTCAGCTATGAAGATAATCAAGAATGATTTTATAAATGAATTTTTAGTTGTATACATTGAAAAAGGTTTGAGTCTCAAAATAAACAATGAATATTATGTAAATATTAATATATGGATGACCAATGACCTACCACATTAGATGCTCACTTGAGAGTTACATGTAAACCCTATTTCTACATTATTATCTCTCATTCATATGCATTGATATAAGGATGTAGTGGTTACCAAAGTGTGCCTATAAATATAGCACACCATTGTGTCAAAAGTGAAGAATGAATAAGAAGAACTCTTCCCCTCTCTTCTCTTGTGTCTTTTCCTCTCTAGTCTTCTCTTGTAGTTGTTTATATTTTCATTAGTTTCATAACACGTTATCAGCACGAAGCTCTGCCAAAATTATCATTGCTCAAGACTCAAAGATTCTCGACATAATCTAAGATATTGGAGTAAGATCACAATATGATCAAGGTATGTAAATCGTAGATCCTTTCTTATCGTATTGTCTTATTTGTGTTGAGATTATCTCATTCTAATATATCAAGATGGGTGCTACTTCTCATATCCATTGATATTTTATCACGTTGATCTATTTGGATTAACAAGAAAAGTAATATAAGTGATGAGTTAATTTCTCAGTTCTCTGTGTTATCCTATTCTTATCAATCATACATTGATATGTAGAAAATGCAAGTTCCAAGAGCCCATATATTCCCCAGAAGTGGAAATTGAAGAATCCAAGGGCAAAGAAAGAAGTGGACATGGTAACAAGAAGATTGGTTTTGTATGTTACCAATGTAATGGAAAATTGCATTTGTCCCGTACCCGTTGTACGCAAAAGACCTTATTCTACCAAAAATTAAAGGAAAAGCTAATTCATATACGCTCATGCAATATCAATATTATGGAACATATTTTTTGTATTATAAGTTGGTATATTCTCCATTAAAGATGAAAATGATATTGCACTTGAGACATTTTCATTCCCAGAAGTGAATGAAACAATCTATTCCCCGAAGTGAATGGAGCTATAAACATGATTATATATATGCTAAATGTATGGTATGGATCTTTTCACCAGAAGTGAGAAAAGAGAAGAATTATAAATAAGGATGAAATAACAATTGCATTATCAAAGTCATGATTATGTAATGTACATGTTGTACATTGAAATGCATAATGGAACGCATATATAAATTTAAAATCACCTGGTTAGTGATGATATTGTTCCAAATAAAACTTATTTAAATTTTCACAATTGTAGTATTATGATTCTTGTTTTCTATTATGTTTCATTGTGCCATTATTTTCATGCATAATTTAACTTGATAACTTTTATCTAGAACGATTAACTTGATAAGTTCGTCATTTTTGTCTTAAGTTTGAAATATTATCATTTATTATTTTTGTATGTTTTTGTAAAGTATGATTGTTAGAAAAAAATCCAGATAAACTATATGGTAGAGTACATAAATGAGAAAAAGCTTCCGAAGAGCTTATGTTTAGTTACTTGAAGTAACTAAATTATGTACTCGTGATACTAATTTGTGATGATATTCACTATGAATATGTGTTTACTAAGAATGCATCAAATCATAAGTCCCCAGAAGGGTGGAATATGGTACAAAATATGGTAAAGCTTTAAAGGAGCCAATTTTGTGGCCTGAAGGAACCAAACTACCTAGTGATGATGCATTACCCAATTAAAAGGATATTCGTAAAATGAATATCTTATCAAGAAAATAGTGAAACTAATATTTGCATCACAAATATGTACTACATGTATATTAGTACAATCCGTACACATAAAAGTGTAAACCAGAAGTTTACAAGATTTGATAACTTGATAATTGGTTGGTCCGGTTAGACCATCCCGGATCTTGATGTGAAAAAAAAGTTCTTTGAGAATTCATGAGAACATCATATGAGAAGTCAAAGAACTCTCCAACTAAAAGAGTTATTATGCCATGTTTTTTCTCATGGAGAATAGAACAATTGATCAGAGCTTGTATAAGAGTTGGCAAATCTTTTGAGATTTTATATGATCACTTTTATTTTATCTAATCGCAACCCGATGTTTGCGAGATTGATTGCCTCACTATGGATACATTTTGATGGTTATCCAATCAAACATCACTTTGCTTAATAGAACAACCTGAGCCTTCCAGTCTCTTGTCGAGGACATGCTAGCTGGCAAGTGATAGTATTGGTTCGCATCTAACCAACAAGTTATCATAAGTTTCCCCCTTTTTACAAATGGTTTTGGTCAGAAACCTAACATTTCCCATATGAGAATATAAGGGTGTGTCGCATACATCCCAATTGCTCCACCACAGTATTTTAAGTTGATTCTCATTAGAGATTGAGAATTTGTGTTGAGGTTTGAATCCCAAATGGAAAATTTGTTTGCGAAATTATTCTTTTGATGGATTACTTTTCCAACATTAAGGGGGGAGAAAAAAAAAACTAGACAAAGAGATGAGTTGGAATGAGTTATCATTATCTTGTTTTGATCCTCAAATTAAGAAACATGAACCTGAAGTTCATAAGATGAATAATCATTACCAACTATCAAATGTCTTTACTGACCATACAAAGTGTCCAAGTCATATATACTAGCTGTGAATACTCCAACAAAATTTGATATCCTTGTTGGATACTCTAATATAAAAAAATGTGTCTAAAAGAGCGCATGAAGCGTGGTAGACCAACCGGTTCCAACGATAAACATCCTCGAGAAAAAAAAGGAGTTGTGATTAGAATGGTCAACTCGAGGACATGAAAACTCAAGAAGAGTAACCAAGAATTAAGTATAATTTTAGTTCCAGAAGAACACATGTCTCTGAAAGTTGTGAAAGTGAAGAGATCTCAAAAACATATTAGACCACAATACTGGGACCGTAATGAAATTATTGTCGATGAAATTTGTTTGTTGTACTTCAGTACTGAATATGATATGTACAAGTGAGGATCAAGAGTAAAACTCTATTGATGCATGCAAATGATGATGTTATTGACCAATATAGAAAGAAATCACGAAAGTGCTCAAAGAGCATAAAGTTTAAGGACCAGAAGTCCTTACACCTGAAAACTGCAAAAATAACAGGATACAAACAAATTTTTGTGCTATTCGAAAGTATAAAATTGTGAGAGATATAGTACAATGTTTTGCAATGGGTTTCTCGAAAAGACCTATCATTGTTTAAGAGGAGTTATACTCCCCTGTGGTGTGTGCAAGTACTTTTTCAAATCAATGTTTGAAAATTGTTGTGATAGCCTATTTGTTTGAATTCCCCGAAGATGTTAAATATATTTGAAACTCCCAAAAGGATTAATTACTCCTAGAAGGATTAA